GAGAGAAGTATATCTGGAGAGGGAGAGGAGTATTCCTGGAGAGGAAGAGGAGTATACCTGAAGAGGGAGAGGAGTATACCTAGAGAGGGAGAGGAGTAAACCTGAAGAGGGAGAGTAGTATACCTAGAGAGGGAGAGGAGTAAACCTGAAGAGGGAGAGGAGTATACCTAGAGAGGGAGAGGAGTATGCCTGGAGAGGGAGAGGAGTATACCTGGAGAGGGAGAGGAGTATACCTGGAGAGGGAGAGTAGTATACCTGGAGAGGGAGAGTAGTATACCTGGAGAGGGAGAGTAGTATACCTGGAGAGGGAGAGTAGTATACCTGGAGAGGGAGAGTAGTATACCTGGAGAAGGAGAGTAGTATACCTGGAGAAGGAGAGTAGTATACCTGGAGAGGGAGAGTAGTATACCTGGAGAGGGAGAGTAGTATACCTGGAGAGGGAGAGTAGTATACCTGGAGAGGGAGAGTAGTATACCTGGAGAGGGAGAGTAGTATACCTGGAGAAGGAGAGTAGTATACCTGGAGAAGGAGAGTAGTATACCTGGAGAGGGAGAGTAGTATACCTGGAGAGGGTATGTTTGTACACCAGGTTTACATCAACCTGTTTAGGTACCTGGTTTGAATTTTTGGATGAAATTTCAAAATTTTAAATACTGCCGCATAAGATTAACTTCATGCTCTCCATACTTATAACGTGATAATGCAACTTCTGAGCAGAATCAAAATAAAATATGTGTTTGTTCTTTTTTGGATATTAGTCTTTTTGAAAGATTTGCGTACAGTTAGACCGTAGATGTCCTAATTTACAATTTTATTGGAAAAATTATTATGACATAAAAGATTCACTTCCGATTCCCTTTAAATCTTCAACAGAAATGTTTAGCAGCATTATCAGCTTATGCCGCACTTGGCATTACGCTCACCAGGAACTGAGATTATGAAATGCACACAGAATTTCCTGGTATCCCTCAGATACGACAGAGACGCGCAGATACTACAGTTTAGATGTTACTGTAAACCGCAAATATCCCTAACCCTTCCTTTAAAGTGCAGGCATTGTACTTCCCGCCTCCAGGACTCAAATACACATACACGTATGTCTTGCTACTTCTGCTTACAATTAGGTCACACTACATACGCATGTACAAGCATATATATTCCTTTGGGTTTTCTTCTGTTTTATTACTAGTTCTTATTCTTGTCTATTTTCTCTTATCTTCTAAACACACAGTAGAGCGAAAAACTAATGTGAAGGACCTGGGAGTAATAATGTCAGACGATCTCACCTTCAAACACCACGACAATGCATGTACCTCATAGCTGAATGATAGCTCTAGGTCTTTCAGGTTGCAATAAACAGGAGTTTTCAGCTTTGCTAAAATGAGTAGGAAGTCCAGGTAGATTTGTTCAGGGAACCGGCTCTCATTAGAGCAATGTAAATGGTATCAGGCAGCCAGTGCCCAGTGCCAGAAGAATGAATTCAAATATAAAGGCTATAGAAAAAAGTATATATAGAGCCTATCAGCACTGAATATATAATAATGACCTAGCGACCACAACATTATTGACAAGTCATATATCATAAACATGTCGCCAGATTCCCCAACCTCTCATTATAAATGACTAATATTCTGATCCCAAAAGTATCTGGCATCTCTCAGTAGGAAATTTCTTTTTATCGACTTAATAAAAACGGGTTCAAGGTCAGAAGCAAGAGGAAAACGATCCCATATTCAGAGGCTGTCCTACCTAACTCTTAGTTTAACGCCAGTACTGCTGTCGAATGGCTCATTCTATCAGTAAAGAGTATCAACGCACTCTTACTGCTGCACAGCTCCGTGAGTGTATACGCGACAAATTAAAGTTTGACTCGAGTGACTTGGCATTCCTAATTGAGGTTTCTGCTGCTTCAGAAGCTATTAATCGCCAATCTCCGCTTTGGTTCCTTCGTAATGGAGGAGGGCAAACTCCTGAACAAACGAACCAACAGCCATTTGGGGAAACAGATGGTGATTCAGGGTTGTCTCATAGCGAGTCAGTTTCGTTAGCGCTCGAGTTCGCTAAACTTAATCTTGAGACTGCCAGGGAGCAATATGCATTTGCCAGGGAGGAATCTGATAGAAGGAAGGAGAGGAGACAATTTCGGAGTACTGTGGATGATAATTTCAGTGTTCAGTATTTTTGTGTCGCTAGTACCTCGGTTTTTCCGATTCTGAGCCTGAGAAGTTTTTTAAGTCTTTCAAAAACCAGGGTCGAGCTTTGCGATGGCCATTTGAGCACTGGGCAGCACTCGTTCATACTGCATTATACGGTAAAGCTGAGGAATATATAGCTGGTTTGAGTGAAGGAGATATCGCAAATAACGACGTTGTGAAAGCAGCTGTACTCGTTGCATATTAGTGTATTCCGCCAAATATATTTAGTGGAATACAATATATATTGGCGAGAATTTAAACTGAGCAAGTGACATTTAGATCAGTCCCATGTGGACTTTGTTCGTGCACAATCTAAATCATTTATTAAGTGGTACAAAGCCACTGCTGTCACTAGCTTCACTGGGCTAGTGCAAACGGTACTCCATAATAATCTTTTTGAGTCAATTGGAACAGAAGTTCGAGTGCTTTTAGAACATCCAGTGGCAACTGAGTTGGAGGCGGCTAGGCTTGCTGACACATTTGAGGCCAACTGCTCCTTGTCCGAGTGGTCTTTTAACTTTTCTTCCCAAGAGCTTGGTATGGAGAGAGATCGTCGTGGACAGACCTCTGAAAGGATTACGTAGTCAGCATGTGGCAAGAGACAAGAATCCCGAACCCATCACATGTTACTTCTGGTGTAAGTTTAGTCACATGAAGGCTACTTTTCCCAAGGTTGATGCTTGTGAATCGGGAATTGGGCAGTGTTACTCCAACCTTCTGGTGAGGGTAGTCTGCAGCCTGTGCCGTACTAACCAACCAAATTCCAGTCATATCAGTGGGCCTACTCAACAACAGAGTAGGAGGCCCTTGCCCTGGTACTTGTGCTGGAGCATTTCGATGTGTTCGTTAACAACTCATCACGTGTGGTCACCGTCTTCAGTGACCACAATCCTCGACCACAACAGCAACTGATACGTTAGGCATTGCGGTTGCAACGGTACATGTCCATATGCCCCATAACTGGCAGACATAATGTGCTGGATGACGCCCTCTACATGGTTCAGTTTGTTAGGATGTGTTAGGGAGGATGTGGGTAGCAGGTTCTTTTTTTCCCACAGTGGTCATAAAGTAGAATTTGAGTTAATCTGATCATAAGGTTTTCTTTAGTGAGAGTGAGGGGAAACTTGCTTCCGTCTGTGTTTTGAACCTACGCTAACCCTACTGTGTACTGGCTGTGTCTAACTTGGAAGTCCTTTCGAGTTGAACACTACCTATTGAGTTGTATGGTCGAAAGGAATGGCGATTCCATTAATTTTTTTTTTGTGCCATGGTGTCACACTTCCCATGTAGGATGCCTAGCCCTGGCTATTAGAGCTCTTTTGTGGTGGGGTTGGACTGTGGCATGCTAAGAACATGTTACATTTTATTTGGCGTATGTTTCACACCCATATAGGCATTCCTCCCGACCAGCATACCAGGTGCTAAGAGTTTAACGAGCAGGGGCCCCATTGTTATACCAGTATCTGGGTTCAACCAGCTAATCACAAATTATTATTATTATAATCAAGGGGAAGCGCTAAACCCGGAGGATTATACAGCGCTTGGGGAAGGGGGGGGGGGTGTGGAAGTCATTCAGGCTTAATTCGGGGAACTGGAGCACAGATCCAATTTCCTAAATCAAGAGCCCCTCACCAACATCAAGGAACCTTCCTTGAGGAGAGCTAATCACAAAGAAGCCCATCAAAGATGTGAAACGATGTGGTACAATCGTAATTTAATTTCATGTTGTTTTGTTCATCATGACCCCTGCAAGAGAATAAAGAAAAACCCCAAAGAAAATTCACACTGAAGGGTTTAGAAGCTTTTGCGGACCTCAACAAGCTTCTTAAAAAGTCTGAAAACATTACCCTAACACTGAAAGGTTTTTATTAATAGAGACGAATATTCATGATACATTATCTGCTTACAAGCAAGTCTATGATGAAAACAAAAACAAGCCATATAACCTAGATGTGTAGTAGGGGACACTATCTTTGTTTGTGTAGGTACACTCTATGGCGTTTGCACAACGACGAAATCGCCTAACGACGCATTCATCATAATGTATCCCTGTCGTTAAGCGACTGATAACTGTACATGCAAATATTTATTCGCCTAATTGCCTTGTGCGGACTTGGGAGCTGAGGTCGCCCAGTGTGGACTCATTCTCACGAAAAGGCTGTTTCTGCATCCTCAGTAGAAAATGGACTTAGAATTTGCCCCTTTTTGTGAACTCGGCATAAGCTGGACTTAGTCTGTGAATGCCCTGTCTGTGCCTGCACTGTGTTTTAAGGACTTACTCTTTCGCTAGATGATCTCTGCAGCTATATGAAAGATATGAACTAAGGATTGGGCGATAGTGAGCAGCGTGCCTTTGAGATGAATCTTGTCTGAGATTTTTCTGGTATTGGATTGTTATCATTTGTGAGTTCATTAACCTGCATTTAGCATTTAAGTTAATACACTTGTAATAAGGTATTGTAACTATTTTTTCTCCTGCAGATTGTAAATATATTTGTAGAAGTTGCATATTACAGTTCTTGTTGTTCCAAATCAATAGGCTGGTAATATAAACAACTTCAGGTTTGTTACCATGAGATATTTGCTGCTAGTGATCGGCTCTCTCTCTCGGCCGGGCATCCAGCTGTAGTAAGGCTTCTCTTTATGATGTCGTTGATTTCATTGTGTCTTGCATGCCAACCCTTGATTTTGGAGCAGTTAAGACCATGTAGATCATATTGGCAGGCAATGCTTTAAAAGCAAAGGGAAGAATATCTCATAACGACGCGTGTTTACCCTTAGTAATGATACCATGCTTGCTCTTAGATGCTCCGCTGGTCCGCCTGCAGCTGGGAGCATCGCTGAGACCACAACACATCCGTCAAGGGGATGACGTCTACTTCGACTGCCAGGTGGTGGCCAACCCTGCAATACAGCGCATCACCTGGTACAAGGAGGTGAGTGTATTATTACCAAGTTAGTATGACTTACGAAATCGTAATGACACGATTGCGAACAAACCATACCACGGGCGGGATAGAACCCGCGATCAGAGTCTCAAAACTCCAGACTGTCGCGTTAACCACTGGTTAACGCGACGGTCTGGAGTTTTGAGACACTCTGATCGCTGGTTCTATCCCCGCCCGTGGTATGGTTTGTTTTACCAAGTTAGCTGTTAAGGGCTCAACTTGTAAAGACAAAACAACGACTAGTATAGTGGGAAGTAATCAAGATTCGATCCGAGGAAGTGGAAGAGGTTTTCATTTCTTCGGATTAATAGAAGAGAGGGGAGTGAGCCTAGTGCCCTGTACCTCACTGCACTAGAAAGAACTGATACAGAGTTCATCATAATTTTCCATTGTAGCCCAGGTATAAATTTCCTTGAGGTCAGATGCATTCTTCCGTGTATGTGCGTATATATGCATGTGAATGTTTGTGTATACATGTGCTCATATGTGCACATGTTGATTAAAGCTTTTTAATTAATTTACTAAGAGTTAGATAAGCGAACTGAAAATCAATAAGTAACTATTCATCAAAATACCACTGTAAAATTATATGTAGGGAACACTACGGCAGCAAAAAATGCTCCAAAATAATGAATTATTTTTAATCCCACTGCTTTTTAATATAACTCTCAGAACCTACCAGTATGCTGTTTAACAAATTAGTGACTCACGAAATCGTAATGACACGATTGCAAACAAACCATACCCCGGCCGGGATTGAACCCGCGGTCATAGAGTCTCAAAACTCCAGCCCGTCGCGTTAGCCACTGGACCAGCTAGCCACAATAAGATTCGTCCAACTAGGTATATTTCTACACCATAGGAAGGTTAGCATAGGCACCACTGTGACCACAAATGCAAGTTTTTACAGACGAATCTCCAGCTAGCGTGGCCGTGACGAACTCTAGCTCAAGTCCCCTCACTGCCGTCAACATGACTCACGAAATCGTAGTGGCTAACGCGACAATCTGGAGTTTTGAGACTCTCTGACCGCGGGTTCAATCCCGGCCGGGGTATGGTTTTTTTAACAAATTAGTCTTCTTCGGAGGTGTACGTCAGCTTTATTGTGGTTTTGTACAGGCAGTGTGTCAATGCTAGGCTTTCCAGGTCCTAGCCTGGTGGGAGAGAGAGTAGGGTCTCATAGGGTGATGTCTAGGTAGGCCTAAACCCACAAGATGACAGCTCAGGCCTATGGACATAGCTTCCCTAGCGGGAGTTATGGGGAACATATATGGGGTAGGCATACTCACTACATCGCTTGGGCACGCTGCCTAGTTACCACATCAGAGAAGAACCGGGCCAAGACCCGTCCTAGCAAACCTACCTGAACCTGCTTGCGTACGCTACCAACGGTTGACCCGATCATGACAAATAATTGAATTAAACTGTCTCTTGCAGGAACAAAGCACTGGCGTGGGCGCTACCATGAAATAAAAAATATATGTAGAATGAAATATTAAAAAACGTTCTAAATGGAAGGGAAGAGAAAATGGGATAAGCTAATACATGGTGTAACAAAACAGTGAGCCATAGAAGGGCGTCATGCACGTAGGAACTCTTACAGGGGGAAACAAGCTATCTGGACAGGACTGCAGGCTGTGCAACACTCTTCAGGAGGGCTCTCGACTGATACTGTTGCAGGGCAATCACGACAGGGAACTCTGCATCTGGACAGGACTGCAGGCCACGTCACGCTTCATGACTCTCGACTGCCACTGTCGCAGGGCAGTCACTTGCTGGTGCAGGCCAGTGAGGTGCTCTGGAAACTCGGCATGCTGGAACGGAACTGCTGACCGGATAACACTATTCAGGAGGGCTCTCTACTGAAAATATGTCGCAAGGCTCCTTGGTGCCGGTAAGCATGACGTCGTGTAGACAGCGAAAAGTGGGTGAGACGACTCAGGTAAAGATGATTTCAGCGATGCTTGTAGACGAGAGTTGCCAGAGAGCAACTCTGCGTGTGGGAGTCGTAGGTGAGACTACTGCGTGGGAGTCGTAGATGGGATGACTGTGTGAGGTGACTTCAGCAAGAGACGGCGGGCATAAGGTTACTCAGTACAGACAACTCACGCATCTAACGTCAACAACCGGTCACGCCAAGGACTGACAAGTAATACTGAGGGATGTGTTGCATTACCTTGGGCACAGACCATACTAGGGAAAACATATAAATACTAACACACCCGCAATGAACATGCGCTAGCATAATTATAACATGACTTGCAGTAACAAATCCTGCTCTTCTGTACATAAATCAACGCCAAGACATTTAAGAACACTGGAAAAGATTAACGCATTTACGAACAGGTGGTAATGGAACACTAAGAGGAATGTAACGTGCGACTTTAAGATACTGAGCACTTTCTACATTTATCTCAATCGTTCTAGATATTACTAAAACACTTAAATTCCACACCAAGAAATAGTAAAGCAACACTGTGACTTCATGGTGACGTAAGGTGATGTCGTGGGGTGACATGTGCAGTGACGTCATGGTGTGATATCAGGGCAGGACGTCGTGAGGTGATATCAGACAGATGTCATAGGGTGACATCGTCCTGCAGGGATATCATGGAGACGTCGTGAAGCACAGACATGAAACATGCCACAAGTAACTAGACAGCGCAGGGAAGTGAGAAACTTGAGGTAGTGTGTGTGTATGTGTGTGTGTGTGTGTGTGTGTGTGTGTGTGTGTGTGTGTGTGTGTGTGTGTGTATGTGTGTGTGTGTGTGTGTGTGTGTGTGTGTGTGTGTGTGTGTGTGTGTGTGTGTGCCTGTGTCTGTGTGTCCCTGTGTACTCTCCTATTTGTGGTTGCAGGGGTCGAGGCACAGTTCCTGGCCCAGCCTCTTCACTGGTCGATACTAGGCACATTCTCACCTTGCTTCATGAGCCTTATCGTATCTCTTCTTAAAGCTATGTATAGAGCCTGCCTCCACTACATCACTCTACAGATTGTTCCACTTCCTGACAACTCTATGAACGAAAAACAAAAATACTTCTTAACATCCTTGTGACTCATCTGAGTTTTCAACTTCCAATTATGACCACGTGTTGCTGTGTCCCAGGATGTGTTCCATCTCTGAAACATCCTGTCCCTGTCCCTATCCACCCTGCCAATTCCTCTCAGTATTTTGTTCGTCATTATCATGTTCTCCCTATCCCTCCTGTCCATTGTCGTCAGGTTGATTTCCCTTAACCTCTCCTCGTAGGACATACCCCTAGCTCTGGGACTAGTCTTGTTACAAACCTTTTCACTTTCTCTAATTTCTTGACGTATTTGACCAGGTGTGTATTCCATACTGGTTCTGCATACTCCAGTATAGGCCTGACGTACATGGTGTACAGAATCTTGATTGACTCCTTACATAAGTGCCGAGACACTATTCTTAGGTTTGTCAGGTGCACGTATGCTGCAGCAGTTACTTGTCTGATATGCGCCTCAGATGTGTTGTGTGTGTGTGGAGGGAGAGCAATCAAGGCAAGCGAAGGCAGTCAGGCTGCGCTTCTGGACAGGACACGTGGAAGGCAGTAACACACAGGCAAACACACACAAAAAAACTCACTTTAGGCCTGGACATCACATGGCTTCATAACCAATGTGGTTTGGTAACCCATGTGGCTTGGTATCCAACGTAGCTTGGTAATCCACGTAGGTTCGTAATCCACTTGGCTTGGTTATCCACAAGGCTTGGTGAACAACGAGGCTTTAAGAACCACGCGGCTTCATGATCCACATGGCTTGGTAACCCACACGTCTTGAACCCTGGCATACACAGCTTTGGCCAGGAATTCACACGGAATTCAGAGACAGCATAGATGGAGTGAGTAATGTAGTGGTAGTGATGGTGGTAGTGGTGGTGGTGTTGGTAGTGGTGGTGGTAGTAGTGGTTGTAGTAGTGGTGGAAGTGGTAGTTTTGGTGGTAGTGGTGGTGGTAGTAGTGGTTGTGGTAGTGGTGGAAGTGGTAGTTTTGGTGGTAGTGGTGGTGGTAGTAGTAGTTTTGGTGGTAGTGATAGTGATGGCGGTAGTGGTGGTGGTGGTAGTGTTGGTGGTAGTGGTGGTGACAGTGGTGGTGGTAGTGGTGGTGGTAGTGGTGGTGGTAGTGATGGTGGTAGTGATGGTAGTAGTGATGGTGGTAGTGATGGTAGTAGTGGTGATAGTGATGGTGGTAGTGGTTGTGGTAGTGGTAGTGATGGTGGTAGTGGTGCTGGTAGTGGTGGTGGTGGTAGTGGTGGCGTTGGTAGTGACAGTGGTGGTGGTAGTGGTGGTGGTAGTGGCAGTGGTGGTGGTAGTGGTAGTGGTGGTGGTAGTGGTGGTGGTAGTGGTAGTGGTGGTGGTAGTGGTGGTGGTGGTAGTGGTAGTGGTAGTGCTAATGTGGTAGTGGTGGTGGTATTGGTTGTGTGGTAGTGGTGGTGGTGGTAGTGGTGGTGGGGTAGTGGTGGTGGTGGTAGTGGTGGTGGTGGTAGTGGTGGTGGTGGTAATGGTAATGGTGGTAGTGGTAGTGGTGGTGGTAATGGTGGTGGTAGTGGGCCCGGTCTACGACCAGGCCTCCAGATGGATCAGGGCCGGATCAGCTAGGCTGTTACTCTTGGCTGCACGTAGTCCAACATACGAAAAACAGCCCGGCTGATCCGGCACCGACTTTAGGTATTTGTCCAGCTCCCTTTTGAAGACAACCATAGGTCTGTCGGTAATTCCCTTTATGGCTGGTGGGAGACTGTTGAACAGTCCTGGGCCCCGGACACTTACTGTGTTTACTTTTAGAGGTGGCCCGGTGGCCTGGTGGCTAAAGCTCCCGCTTCATACACGGAGGGCCCGGGTTCGATTCCCGGCTGGTGGAAACATTTCGACACGTTTCCTTACACCTGTTGTCCTGTTCACCTAGCAGCAAATAGGTACCTGGGTGTTAGTCGACTGGTGTGGATCGCATCCTGGGGGACAAGATTAAGGA